CCAAACCATTCTATGATTCTACGGTAAGAGCAGCTCTGCCTCCTCCACACGCTCAGCACAAGTGGAAGCAGGAGCCTGCAAAATTCACAAACAGGTTTGAAGTTCACCTCAAGCTCCTTCGGTCAGGATCATAGTTTTCAGGCAGAAGGTGTCCCAGCGATCGGTATATAATGACCATGGCAACAGTATGATGTGTTGAGTCATCTGGGTGTCGCTTCTTTCTCTTTGCAAAAGCACTCTCAGGGCTTAGTGCATCACTGTTCACCTTAGAGGATAACTTCTGATTTGAAGGCTTCATTGTAGGCACTGCTGTGGAATTAAAACAAATATTAAATTCTCTCCACACAGCTTTGGAGCTACCATTTCAACTGGTAATTCTGCTTTGCAAAAATACAGAGATGTTACTGTTGTTATAACTCTAGCCTTACTGCACTGAGCATGCTCCTAATGTTATATTTCATATTTTTCATAAAACTTTAACACATTTCATAGTTATATAGTTGGTAATGAACCAACCACTGAACCATGAATAACCATTTAGTCTAGCTAGAAAATAAGCCATTTCTAAGCTAGAAGATCCATAACTATATAAATACTCCGTGCAGGATTTGAGGAGAACATTAAAGCAATACGCATGTTATTAAATTGCATGCACCTTTATATATGGCAAGGCTAGTGTTATGAATGCAGCAATTGGTCATGTGGGATTTCTCCCTGCTAATTCTCTCATAAAATGAGTTTTCAGTTTTGGCAGTATCTCTCAAAATTCACATTCCCTTTTTTCTTACAGAAAAGATACAAGTCATATAAGCAGGTGCTCTGTTTCTGAGGAGTAAGTCATAAAGTTGCTTTAGCTTATTAATTATTATGCGTTATTTTCACAAGTGTGACTATTTCCCCATTCAGAGGATATTCAGCCATGGTACGTGTATAATGATGGCACTTTGGGTTACCCTCTCTCTTGTTCCTTGCCTGAGGTTCTTCTCAGCAATCTCAGGGTACTTCAGAGACACTGGGAATCAGGTACTTCCCCATGTATTCTCCCTCATCACCCATGTCCCTGCACAGCTCCAGACTTTTTCTTTACCGTTTAGTTCTGGTAACACGTTTCTGCTCCCAGATATGTATTCTCCATCTCTCACACCGCCTCTCTCCATCTCTGCAGGGACCAGGGGAAAGTGGCTGTGGGGCTGCAGGCTCTGAGCAGGCTCCCATCCCATCCCGGTGGGAACGGAGGCAGAGCATTTCTCCCGTGTTGACAGGGCTGTTCAGGGGGCTGTGAGTGAGACCTGACAGACAGGTACAGCCAGTTACGCAGCCCCCCATGCTCCCATCGCTGCCGGCAGGCAAAATGCCTCAGAAGTATGCACAGCTGCTCCATCCCTAAATAATGTTTGCTTGTATAGATGGTCACCCTGCTCTCACCCCAGTACCACTCTGCTTCATGAGGATCAATCACGCTCCTGGGATCGAGTTGAAATTGCCCTCCGAACAGCAGCAGAAGGGTTTTACCTTTCCTGTCTGAAGGTCGGAACAAAGTATCAGGGAAGACAACAGATGACTCCAGATCTTTTGGATAATCTTCTTTAATCTCATGAAATCGTGGTATTCTAGCTCCCGTGAAATTAGCCTTGTCAAAGATGTCAACAGCAATAACTGGAGGGAAAAAAAAGTTTCCCATAAAATACAATGCTTTCAAATATGATATTGCAACAAAATGAAACATGATGGGAAGTTTAAAAACTCTGCACAATGCAGAGAAGAAATTTAAACTCCAAAATACAAGGTCAATTTTAATTTCTCTCAATTAATACTTTAAATGACAGCTGAAAGTTTATATGTCAGAATTATGTTACATTTATCAAATTACAGATTTATTTTGCAGTGGAAAGGAATTCACAAGACTATCTCATACTAGGAAAACACTACTGCAAATACTGGGAACAGAGTGTGGCACGTTCCAATTTCAGACTCGCTTCTTGTAGGGAAGACTAAATCTGCTGCTTCAGAAATACACTTCTTCTACATCTGTTAAACTGCAAAGTCAGCTAAGCAAAGAAAATAACCTGGATTTTACTTAGGACTACCCCTTAGTCCTCCAGTTCTCCTCCCTCTACACTAGCAGTTCTCTGGCTCACCTCATCAGCTCTGCCTGCTGTCTAACTGCCAAAATATTTAAAAGCAGCTGAGTTGGCTTGAACTTTCCCATTTAAGAGAGTCATTGAGTGCCAATTTAGATGTTCTCATAAAAGTGAGAAGCTGGAAGTCCTGGGGGTAACTCTACACTGAAAGCTGTGATCCACTGCAAATTTCTATATGAAGAAACGTCCAGGTTAAGATCTGCAAATTCCCATTCCTTTCCCAGTCTCTAAATAACTCCCAGATGAGCCGTTAGGAAACTCCATTAACATCATGTTCACCTGGAAAAACTGTTCAAAAGAAAACAGACCCCCTTCAGGCCAGAGTTGCCTCATCTCGCCCAAGCTCATGCCTTTTTACTCAGGAAGAGCTGATTGGGAAAAATCACTATTTACAACCTGCAAGAAATTCTGCGTTTTCTTTTCATCTCAGTTCAGTTAAAATGCCGAGCATACTTTTTTCTGAGCTTGAAGATAAAAATATTCTGATTGTGATAGTCCTGAATCAAAAGGAAACATTTTGGTTTTGGTTTGTTAAACAGAAATCAAAGTTTTTCAGTTTGGCTTAGTTCAACAATAATCCACTGCTCAGAGTAGGACTGTCACCAACGCCTGATCACCTCAGTGTGCTGGTACCTGGGGAGAAAATGAAACAGAGGGGGCAGGGCAGAAAACGGGGGGCAGGGCAGAAAACGGGGAAAGAGGCTGAAGAGTTGCTGGGCTTCACTCGCACGTGTACCGCGGGGACATCTGTGAAGCACATCACACTCCTGTGAGTGCAGAACGGCTAGTTGCTTCTCAGGGGAGGAATTTACTGCAACAGGTGGGCAAAGTGTCTGGGTACACCCGGTGTTTCCTTCTCTGTTTAGACCCATTCCAGACATTTTGGACTCCACGTGGCTCTGATGACGGGTTTTGCATGGCTGGGAGAGTGTCTGAAGTCTTGGAGGGATGATTCTGAGAAACTATCTTTCAGCACAGGAATTTCTACAAAAGGTGATTTTCTGGATAGGCTCCAGGCTAGGAAGGCATGTGAAAATCAGAGGTATACAATCAATAGTAGGGTTTTTTTTCATTCTGCAGTAATCCTTCAGGTGGTGGTGATGTGATTCTTTCAAAAATGTGTAATCTACTATGTTCAGCTATAGCAGGTGGTCTCAAAAGGCGTTACACCTTTACTTACAAACCTTGTCCTTTCTACCATCTGCACACCACTGTGCCTACAACGACATGCCACACGGAGCAGTGGCACAGCCCAGAGGGAAAACGGACCACACAACTCCCAGGGAGCCCCCATGGCAGCCAAGAGATGCAGTTCAAGGCGCAGCTGACTCTAAATGAATACACTGACTAGATCAGAAAATGCAAACATTTTGTTTCTCAGTGGGTACAATTAAAAACAATAGCCAGCACCTCTACCCAGCGTATTTTTAAAGCTCTTATACCAAATGGCAGTTTTCAGCACAGATACTCACTCATGTTAGTGGCAACAATGACAAAAGGTCTCATGTAGGTTTTCTTCATGTTCTGGGCCACGTTGTTGAAATATTCCTCGTAGTGCCTGAGCAGGTGAGCGGTGCCACCCTCCGTTCGTTGAATTTGCTCCCAGTGCTCCTTGTTGCTGGGGTCCAGTAGAGCACTACCCACTTTGATAATATTCTGAGAAACAAAGTACAAGCCTAAATCACGAGGCAAACAAAGCGCTGGGTTTCAAGTGTTTCAAGTGAGGAATACTGAAAATGATTGGTATTACTGCCCCAGGTGAGTGTATAATGAAATATTTTAATGCAGGCAGGTTCTGCTGCAGCCATATGAAAATATGCACACCCGTTACTCACCCTGAGGTTTTTTTTGTTACATAAAGCAAATCCATCCAAAAATTTTATGAGCAAAGTGAGCCAAAATTGGAGGCTATAAGAGAACTGCCTACTTTCCTTGCCCTTTAAGACAAGAAACTAGTAAGAAAATGCAGAAGAAAAACCTAACCAGATTTTCTTTGTCTCGGAGAGATGAGAGGCAAGAAAAGCAGAGTGCTTGGCATGCACTTGGTATGCAGAACTCCCCCAGAGAAATCAAAATAATGTGATATGTTAAAAATCAAAAGCAATCCATAGGTAGTAATATCTCTTTCTCTTTTATTTTGTGGATTTTTTCACTTTGTTGATTCCTGGATAACTAGAACAACTTACATCGTGAAGAATGACGAGATGGGAAATATGCTAAGAAGTTTTTAACCTTGGTGTACATATGAACTACATTGTTGTGTCAAAACCTAATTCCTAACTAAGGTAAACTTGGCATAAATGATGGTAGGAATTAATCACCTCAAGCTCTAAGGTAGCCAAGGCAAATACTGGGATACACACAACCCCTCATTTAGAAGCAGACAGGTAAGATGCTATATTCTCTAAGTGTTGCCTGAGGTTGCAAGATTGTATCTGAGGAAAAAGAGGCTGCCATGACCACCTTTATCTAGGGTGAGAAGCATCACACAGTTCCTCAGGAACACAGGAGACACGTGCTCTAATTGGTACCAGGCCTCCTTGGTGTTTGTGAACGTTATTTATGTTTATTATCTATTTTTCAGGCTTCTACCTGAGACTATTAAAAAAATAAAGTCCTTCTCCCCTTGTGCTCCCTCAATCTAGGATGTTACCTCCTTTTTCTCATGAGTTTTACTGACCAGTTTTCAAATTCCTGAAAAATACTTAGGGAGTTCTTGAAAACATCAACTGTATGAGGTTCAGTGCCAAGTGCAGAGAATAATAAATTAAAGCAGAGGTTTCCAAGCCACTTTTTTTTGATCATTGTTCTTATTTTTACTAAACAAAACATGCTAAAAATGAAGTTCCTTCTCCAGATCTGAATGGGGGAATTCATTCACTCCACAGCCCACAGGTACAAGTTTGTCAGCACAGTGTCTCCTTAGGAAAGGAAACACTGAATCTCCTAAATTCTAATGCATGTAAAATATTAAATGCTTCAGAAGGTCTCCACTCTCTGTTGACTGTACAGCCCAAGACACTAAGGAATTCTCTCAGCCCCATTTTCTGCTGGAGTTTTGTGAGCTGGGTGTAGCGCACCTTCAAAGGGAGCCAGGCCACCTCTGGCCAGCACAGAAGCCAGTCTTGGCCCAGGGAGGGTTGTTCCAGCATCCCTATGCTGGTGCCCCAGCTCCAGACTCTGCCAGCACGGGGCCAGCAGGATGTTTCAGCTTGGATGACGTGCTTTGGCATGGTGGGGATCTTGGAAATAGTATGGGCAAGCATGGGCAGCAGTACCCCACAGCACACATGGGAACAAGGAGAGCTCCAGGAGCCTGACATGGGTCATCCAACCATCACATCTTCTGACCACAGAAAACTCCCAACTTCCTCCACATCTCACATTTTTCCGACACATCTGTATGTTTCCCCAGACAGGGAGGGTGCTACAGTTTGTTCTCTAGACCTGGTTAGGTCTTTGATAATAACTGAGTCTCTCATGAATGCCCTCACTAGCAGAAGACCTCTGACACGCATTTTTGATTGTGCCTGCATCACTTAAATTATCAATACAGTATGGAGTGTCTTTCAATGTACCAACTCTTTAATAAACATGACTCAAGTGAATTATAAGAAACCTTCAGAGACAGTAACCACACATTTAAATGAAAATCATCACGTTAGGCAGGTCTTCCAACAAAATGGAATATGGTAGACAAAGGTATTTTCTCCAGGAATAACAGGTTTAAATTGAAAGCGGGGTGGTTTAGATTAGATATCAGGAGGAAGTTCTTCATGGAGAGGGTGGTGAGGCACTGGAACAGGTTGTCCAGAGAAGCTGTGGATGTCCCATCCCTGGAAGTGTTCAAGGCCAGGCTGGATGAGGCTTTGGGCAACCTGGTCTAGTGGAAGGTGTTCCTGCCCATGGCAGGGGGGGTGGAACTAGATGACCTTTAAGGTCCCTTCCAACCCAAACCATTCTGTGATTCTGTGATTCTATGATTATTTTTTCTTTTGGGGAATTTTGCTTTTGGTTGTTACTATGACAGTATTTATTATGTGTGCATACACACAAGCATAACCAACCTCCCATTCTAAATTGAGAAGACTGACTGATCTGTGAAACACATTAAGCAATTACATGATATTCACCCCACCTTGGTCAAAGACAAATTTAATTATCCATTGCCATAAAACTTTACAGGGAACTGTAAGAGCTCAGCACAGTATATAGTATGTCTCTTACTTCATGGAATTCCACGTCCCTCGTGGCTGCCAAGTCAAACCCTTGCTGCTGGCTCTCATACTGGAGGACCCGGATCATCATCTGGTAAGCTGTCCTCACATCGTTGCCATACAAGCTGTGTGTGTACTTGGTGGCATTCTGCAGCACTCTCACGATCCGTATGGTTTTGTCTCCGTCCAACTTGGTCTCATTGTGGTGTAACTTCTCATTCTGAATCAGAGACAAGGAGGAAGAAGAAACCCAGGGATGTTTTTTTGTTGTTGTTGTTGTTCTAGTTACAAAGACAAGCATGATTTAGGGATTTTTGGCATAAAGGAGTTCTTTGATCAAAATGGTATTTATCTTGAGAAAAGGTGGACAGGGCAATTAAATGGAAAATATAACTTAAAGCCAGAAAAGCACATAGGGCCTGATGGGAAACAAGGGGGTTCAAAGACTTGGTCAGGAAATGAGGGGGGTTCAAAGACTCGGTCAAAAGATGGATTGCAGTGACACCCAACTAGTGTCTGAACTCATAATTATTTATAAAATAAAGGCAAAACACACAACTTACCATGATTTTTAGATCCACAAAAGTGTTGGTGGTACAGTTGAAAAGCTCAGGAGGCAGCCAGCCCTTTTCAATGTTACAATGGCGAACCGCGTTTCCTGAAGGAAACAAAGCATTAATGGTAAATAGTGTTCTGAACTGTGCTGGATAAATCTTCACTGATTTCACACTTCCTAGACTTTCTGGAGATATGCACACATTTCTACTTCAAGACTGGCATTACTGTCTGATAAAAGGTAAAAACTACCAATCTTCATGAATCATTTTATCCCAGACTTCAGAGAAAAGTTAGCCAAGCTTCAGATCTGCCCAACTGCTCTCAGACTTGCTGCCCTACTGCTCTCTAATGAATTCAGCAATTTATTTATACCAACTCTCAGAAAGACCGTGCACTTCCTAAATATTTATGAAAACATGTCCCTGCTCAGATTTTGGTGCAGTAGCCTACATAGGAAGGCCTGCCAGGTAAATGCTCTCTTCATGTCAAAACATGCTAGCACCTTTGCATGCAGCACACAGTAAACACTTCAGCCAACACGTGTAATTGCCTTTTGCCACAGGTGAATGGCCTGTGAGCAGTTTACTCTTTCATTTAGCCTATTATTTTAGGTTGAGGGTTCGACAATAGTATAAGATGTGGAACCCTCAACATCAGAAGGATATAGACCAGTTGGAGTCCAGACGAGGCCATGAAGATGCTCAGCGGACTGGAGCCCCTCTGCTATGGGACAGACTGAGAGAGTTGGGCTTGTTCAGCCTGGAGAAGAGAAGGCTCCAGGGAGACCTTATTGCACCTTCCAGTACCTGAAGGGGCTACAAGGAAGCTGGGGGGGACTTTTTACAAGGGCCTGTACTGACAGGACAAGGGGTAACGGGTTTAAATTGAAAGTGGGGAGGTTTAGAGTGGATATCAGGAAGAAGTTCTTCATGGGGAGGGTGGTGAAGCACTGGAACAGGTTGCCCAGAGAAGCTGTGGATGCCCCATCCCTGGAAGTGTCCAAAGCCAGGCTGGATGAGGCTGTGAGCAACCTGGTCTAGTGGAAGGTGTCCCTGCCCATGGCAGGGGGGGTGGAACTAGATGATCTTTAAGGTCCCTTCCAACCCAAACCATCCTGGGATTCTATGATCCTTCACAGCGAAGGGCAAGTTACCAAATTCAAAACTGACACAGTGCTAGTTAACTTGGATACAGTTAACTTGGGTACATATTGCATGTGTCTAAGCCATCACTAGTATCAAAATAGGAATTCTAATTAATTTAATGACATCTAATTATATTATTTCTCTTCCATGATTAGGTGAATACAATGGAAGTATGGTTCCTAGTCTGAATATTCATGACTATAAAGGTTACTTTTCTGAACTTTCTGTAAAATTAATTTAAAATGTGCAATTCCTGCAAGTACCCTTTCCCGCTAGCCTATTTGCTAGAAGAGACACTGGGGTCAACCACTAGAACAGTGCAAATTTAGTGTGAAATCTTATATTAATTCAACCTTATATTGTTTAATAATGTAAGGACTCTTCAATTTAAAAAAAAAAAAACAACAAAACAAAACATGTCTCCTAAACCTCTCAGAACAAAACCTTGGGTGACCACAAATCTTCTGCACACCTACGGCCAGTGACCTCCCTCTGGTAATATTTGGAGAAGTCACATAACCATTTAGAAGTCACTGAGCCTGAGGAGTGCATGCAGCAGAGAGTTACCAGGCCCAGAAATTAGGCAGAGGTTTCATCTCCCACAGAAGAGACTTTGAAAAAGACTGTGAACTCCGTTTTAAAATATCTGCTTTGGTATTCCACCAGATAAACATTTTCAGGGAAACGTGTGAAAAAGCAGGCTGTCGTCCGCTTGCAGTACAAAATGACACAGCTCACGTGCTTCATAAGATGCATTTTTCAGCCATCTGACTTACGGGTTACAGAGAAGATGTTGGGTGGAAAAATGCGAGTTCTGTTGTAACTCCTAGCTTCATTAGCCTGCAATGCTAGTAAAGCAATCCTCATGTACATGATTTTACCCATTTTCTCTTTGCCCAGAGGAGCTGTATCGCTACAGTCCATGCGTAAGTTGCTAAAAATTAAATGTTACATGTGTGTGAATTGCTTGTTAGTCAACAGAAAATTGGATTGTGGTTTTTTGAAAATACAGACACAGAATTTCTGTTCTTTATATGTGTTTGTCTGCTGCACTTTTTTATTTATTTTTTTGTGACTATTCCAAACGTATTTTAACAGTTCTTGAGCTTCAGCTAAACTTTCCTGCTTGTGACATGCATGAGCTATGCTGTAATCTACACCCAATGAATTAACACCATTCCCTATGTACACTTTTTTCTCTTTTCTCCCCCCTCACACAGGCATGTAGATAAAATAGTTAATGTTTTACCCAGGGAACTTACCCACTGATCCCTTAGGGCACGGCACAGCAGCTGGTTGCCCAAACTTGGTCTGTGGCCACCAAATACCAGCCTCAAAAGCTTTGGGACAGCCATTATAAATTACTGAAAGCAGAGAAAGAAATGATGCAGTTTTTCTGACAAGATAAAAATCACAACAAGGACATATTTCAACCTGCCTAAAGGACCTTCCTGTAATTCCCAAGCCAGGCTAGGATACCTGCCCTCTGCAGTGCCTTCCAAGCTGTAACCCATCACCTGCTCCTCATCCAGCAGAGCAGGCAGACAGGTACGGGCAGAGGAGAGCTCAGGGTGATTATGGGACTCTGGGTTTTGGCTTTGCCTATCTCTGCCTGCTCCTTTATTGTGGGAAAATGTTTCACCTTCATTTCACCCACACACTGCAGGGAGATGGCTGCTGCAGCAGCTTTGTGCTGATCGCAGGGGAAGGATGGGTGGGTGAGAGGAAAGGCAGGATGGGCAAGAGGGGAAGAAAGGCAGAGGGCACTAATGCACGGCACAGCCTCTGTGGACAGAAGGTGCAAGGGCTCTTGCCCAGCTAAGCTTGCTATACTTCCATCTGGTGAAAATTAAAGAAATAAGAGCTTTTTTCTTTTTCCCCAGCTTCCACCAGTCATATTGGCACAGACCTGGGAGAAGGGGTGCATGTTTACACTGCTGCAGCTCACATGTGCCCCAGGATTCAGCTTCATGCCCACCTCTGTGCATCCCCTTCCCCCTGTTGCTAGCAGCTCTGATGCTGCAACCACAGCCCGGCTGCTCAGCAGCCCCGGCTGGACCCGAGGTACCTTCACAGCCCTTCACCGTCACTTCAGCAAAGGGGTTGTCGCAGCGGTTGCACTGCCGCCCTATGACACCAGGTTTGCAAGGACACTGTCCCGTCTCCATGTCACAGGCACGCGTGTGGGAGCCAGATGGGAAGCAGTCACAGGGGTAGCAGGTGTCACTGCTCTGAGGCCTGTAGTAATTTGCCTAGAAAAACCAAAGTGATAGACACACCTCAGGTATTTGACTTACATTCCACATTGCTTGTGTTCCTGAAATCCTCCTCCAGCAGCATGTGCATCATAAGATTTTGCAAAGTACAGGGTAATAACAATATTACTATTAACAGAAAATGTACTAGCTATGGGAAGCGTGCTCTGTTAGCCCAGGCAATGTGGAGAGGTAGAGCTGAGTGCCAGGGGGAAGGCTGGGCTGCCCTGTGCTGCACAGACCCAGGGTTTGGATCACCAATTGCAGTGGGGGCAGAGGGCCCATGTTATTCCTTGTGTACTTGCTGCCAGCGCCCAGCAAACGTATTCTTGGAAGATTGGTGGGTTTGTGTGCTTTGCAATTCCACTCCTGTATGGCATGAACAAGCCAGTAAGGAAACTTCTTGCACTGCCCGTCTGTTCCATGGGCAGGGTGGAGAGCAACCAATGATCACGTATTCAAATGGCATCTGTAAATGCTTTTGATCTGAGGCGTTACACAATTACACGAGAGCACGGTGCTGGCACCCCACTGACTCAATTTAACGCAACGCTTGCTGTGCGGCCTGCTGGCATTTCGGAAAGGAGTATGGGGCCAGATTCACTGTTGCTGGTCCACACAGGCCCAGCTCCTCTGATGTCATTCAGGCCTATTGTAAAACCTATTGTGAGAAGTTCTTCGTAAAAGCTTCAGGAGGGAGGTGCCTCCCCTCCCGTGTCCCCCGTCTGTCCCTGCCTGTCCATGGCAAATTCCTCTTAAACTCGTCAAAGCCGGCATGGAGGAAAGCATTTAGCCTCTCGTATTATTTACCTCTCCCCATCTGCTGTCTTTTGCTGGCCATTGCACAGGGGAGAGCTTCAGCCAGCTGGCCCGAGCTGTTTCATGGTTATTACTCACTGGTGATACACAGAACACCACCGGCACTCCTCTGCACCCAGGCCCGATCTCCCCCGATAAACCAGGCTGCACTTCAGAGAGATCAGAGCCAGGCTTTCATCCTCTCAGTTTGGCCCTCCAAAGGCAAATAAGATAAGAGCTGTACAGTACGATTTTGTGAAGGGCGGTGCCAGCAAAATGTTTTAGGTAAAGATTAACTACGCTGCACACATATATATATATTTTACAAAGCACCACTGTGTGTACTTCGTCTTAGATACTCACTACTTGTAGTTGTTAGTGGTTTAGTTACATTTTAAACCAAAGAAATTTTGACTTAAGACTGGTTCATTTTTGCTTACCTTGCAGTGACATTCTCCATTGGTCTTATTGCAATCAGAATCAAACCCTTTACTGGTCTCACAATTACAGGGGCCACAGATGGGATTTCCCCACCAGCCTCTGGGACAAGGCAGGTCGATCCTATAGAAGAAAAATTGAAATAAAGTTCTTCTAAGCTTCCTCTTAAAAGGTGGGAAAAAGAGCTTTGGGCCAAATCTGCACTCAACTCCATTGGCTTATAGACTGCAATGTATCTCACCGCAGCAGGCAACAATCAATACATATATAGATACATATGCACTGTAATGAAAGAAAATACAGAATATCAGTGCTAGGAAACCCTAGATGGAATGCTTCTCCAAATGTTTTCAAGACCAGCTCCTCTTTATAAGGAGTATACATCTGTATGAGCAAATAAAGTGCTCCTTCCTCTGGGAGAGGGCGATAGGGCCCACACTACCTAGTGGAAATGGCCCCAGTTTCACCAGATCCAGTCCCCCATGGGGAAAGCGCTGGCTGGGGCAGGCTGGACAGGGATAGCACTGCAACAGCTCGGGCTACTGCAGGCAGTGCTGAGCCCGTGCCCTGGTTTGCCTACTGCCACAAACAGCCTCGGAGTAGAGCTCCCCAACACTTTATATCCCACCCACCATCCCCACGGGTTCCTGTCCCAGCCCTGCCATGCATAGCAGAGCTTGTCCAACCCGCAGGGACACAGCTCAGGTGCAAAGCTGGCTGCAAGCTCACCCTGTGAAGCAGTGTCACTACATTCTGCCAGCCTGGCTTTCTCAGCCAGCTCACCACAGGGGCTGAGAAGCCCTGGTCTGCCACAGGGCAGGAGAAGATCACATGTGGCTGAGGACATGGAAGAGGGAAGGGTGTCAGCTTCTTGGACTATGAATCAAAGACTATGATTCAGACTGAGTGGAGAAGCACAGCTCATTAGAGGCTGTGCAGCAAGCCCAAAGCCACACTTGATGTAGGATAACCTTAATTTTTGCTGGTTCTGATTTTCTGGTGAGCTTCTGAGCAGATTTGTCCCACAGATGCCCCAGCACTAGTGTTGGCAAGGAGAGTACTGGGAAGGTGCTGGGGCAATGATCAGGGTCTCTGTTAGCTGGAGGTCTTCGTCAAGCAATAGCCTGAAGGGTGACACTGGTGAGTCTGAGATCAGCATAATGCACAAGGAATCCCCTCCCTGCTGCTCATTTTAGTGAAGAAAAGCTGTTTGCCGTCTGTTTCAAAGACCATGCCAAATTTTGTTTACGGTAATTGCCACATTTGTACTTCTATGTTTGATAATATGAAAAACCACAATGCTGCACTTGACATGATGTCAGCAGATAATGACAAGGGACACCATCTCTGCATCACTAATCCAGAGGAATGACAGATGAATCTGGCAACAGCACAGCCAACATTTGCAAGCCCACACAACAAGAGGCACAGGAAGAAGCTTGTGGTTTTCAAAGGGAAGGAAACACCACAGTAGCTATTCCTAAATGGGCAGACAAATGCACTTCATTTGCACATCATGAATGGCCCTTATTACAGTAAATCAAAGTGCCGTCTCTGGGATAAGACCAGTTGCTGAATGCTTATCTGAAACCAGGAGGCTGGTGATGAGGGAATCAGCACGTTTCTCCCACACAGCAACAGGACATAGGCCTCCCAGACTGTCCAGAAGAGATGGCTTTTTGCCAGCCCAGGGACTGGACCCACACTGCAAAGGCATTTTGCCTGGCCACAGGCCACCTAACTGGGTGCATCTCTGCATGTGTGTGCTGGGAGATCTGAAGGAGAGACACGGAGCCAAGTCCACCACAAGGTACAGGTCTGAGTGTAGCACAGTATGATTGGTCAAGCCCTGAGCTGCTGATGAAGAAAAGTGGCCCCTGAGTATGTGCAAGTTTGCCTGGTCTCAGGGAAGACAGCTCAGGGGTACGAAAGGGACGTGCCATCTACTGTGAACACTGGAATTGTAACAGGAAAGCCAGCTGAAGCAGGAAAAGAAGTGGGAGGACAATATGGAGGAGAAGAGCTACTTGGAAGGCTCAAGAAACCAAGAACAAAAATAATTCTCTTACTTGCTCTCGCAGTACTGTCCATAGTAGCTTTGTCCACATTCACAGGTGTAGCCATGGGATGAACTAGGTTTGTGCACGCACGTGGAGACATGCTCACATGGGTTCAAGTTACATACATCAACGCAGTCTCTTCCAAAGTACCCTGGGGAGACAAAGTCGTAAAATTATAGCAACCATTGTAATTTACGATTTGTATGTCTCCAAAAGACCATCTATTTTAAGCTTACACATTAATAACACATCTTCAATAATCAGTGGATTCCCCCTGAGATACTGTCTGAAAGAAGGTACTCTTTTCCCTTTCAGCAAAAAAGATAGTGGGCTGTTCTTTTCGACAGTCTGTTAACATGCCTGAGGCACCCTTGTGCCTTCGGTTCCCAGTTTTATATTCAGGGCATGCGTTACAAATAGTTTTGTATTCTCTCCCTGCGTGTATGGGAGGTGACTGTGCTGGGTGCTGACAGCATGTGCTGGCTACATGCACCAAAACAGAGACAACATTCAGAGTATCTCAATTAGGATGCAGGGTATGAGACTGAAATTCAACAGCAGAAAAGGCTGAGGAAAGAAAAGAAAGGGAAAAAAAAAAAGAAAAAAGGAAACAGACAAAAACAAAAAGGGAGTTGGGGTCGTCTTTCTGTTTGGTGGATACGTTGCCTAGAACAAATGATCCTTAGTCCATGACTGCCATTTCAAGGGTGCTACAGTGAGACAGAGAAAGATAATTGGAAGCGGAAGAATCAGAAGGTGAGCACTTCACAAGCATGCCGCTGCTGCTACTGCCATTTTTTTTTGAGCGCATGAAGATGTGATCCAGCTCCTCAGTGAGTGCATGGGATGGCCATTGGGTTACCTGGGTCGCAGACGCAGGAGTAGCTGTCCCAGTCGTCACTGCAGTAGCTGTGCTGGGGGCACGGGTTGGAATCACAGGGGTTATCCACTTCACAACCCTCCTTAACATTGATCTTGATAGCCTGTTTCATGTTAAGTGTCGCTATATTTGTAGATGTCTCTCCCATTCTCACCCCCTAGTGACAAAAGACAATTATTTTTTAAATTAGTGTCTTCAATCAGAGCACAGTACTATGTGTTTCACCACTTCCATTAATCCATGAGGCTATATTTTAAAGAAACATCACCCGATGAGCCATACCCAGACATTTTTTCAAATGCTGTTCCCCTGTGAGACCAATCAGATTTGTACCTGAGAAAGTGGGTGGACTTTAATATTTTGATTCTTAGATATTTTGATGGAGGAAACAGAAATGTTTAGGGATGGATGCCCACATTTTCTCACAGGTATTTTCTTAAAAGTTCAGAGTTTGTTGCTACGCTTTACATTTCATA